CTGGTGGAAGGCACCTTCCCCGTCTATCGACAGCATTGCTTACTGCTATCACATTGGCCGTTTGGCGCAATTTGACGCATTGGCCAAACGTTCCAAATCCAAATGTGCCCATTTCTGTTGAGCCAAAGCATCCAATATCTCCTAGGTTTGGATCAACGAGGTAGAAATGAGACCTTACGAAACAGAAGTTGTCCTTAGTTTACTGAATTCTGTCAAGGTGTACAGAATGATGATAAAGGAGGGAAAATGCGAAGGGTAAATGGTGGCGTGGACAGCAGTGACTGTGTTTTTAATTGCGCAACTTTTCGTGAATCTGCTTCTCTATCTTGACAATTGGCACCAGAGCTTGATTTATAAGAACATCAATCATCCGAACTCCCGAGAGTAAATGAGGCACAGGTGAGGCAATTTGACTGCTGCCTGGGTGAGCCGTTTCCCCCGTACACGTTAGACGTTAAGTGACATTTGCCAAGAAGCCAGCGGTCAATTGTCAGCGTTCAACCGTGAATGCGTGCAAATAACTTCGAAAGAGGAGGTATATCATGGAGCCAGAATGTGAACGCATCGTATATTCCAGCAGAATCAGCAGAAGAGCAGGTTAAAAGGGATTACCCATTCATCCCATGTGAGCTTTGCGGGGAATGTCTACAACCCTCACCTCGACAGCTTCTGGCTTTCGAGATTGTCAGATGGCACATCAGTAAGATCGGCATCGCACCTGGAATCGTGATGCCGACCATCCTGCAGAGAATAGTATAACTGCTACGAGTAACGTTTGGTTCGGTCGTAGACGACACATTGGAATTGACAAATCACAATGGGATGCTTGAGCTTTCTCTCTGGGTCCTGGTGTGGCGTTCAATTTCAGGACGCAGCGATCCCACTAGCGAGGTCTTCGTCATGCGGCGCACGCGCACCCAGCTGGGGCTTTCGGTCATTCACCAGCGTTATGATTTGGCTTGCAGTCAAAGTGTGGCATTTCCATTGCCATAGATTGCGGCCTGCGAAGCGAAGTACGCGAGATGCCCACTGCAGCGGTGTCCTCCCTCGGCCTCTGAAGAGAAAAAACTCGACGTCGTGCAAGCGCAAAAGGATCAGCGAGAACTCCCTTACAAGAAGAGCCAGCCAGCTGCAGAGGCAGGGAAGCAAGAGTGGTTCAAGTTGCTCCGCACTGACAAGAAATCGAAAAGCTCCCTCGCCTGCCACTTGACCTCCAGAAGAACACATGGGTTGACTGCGTTGACTGTTTTGTTGTATCCGATCCTACCCTTCCTCACAGCACACGAGCTCACCAGAGACGCCAAAGAGAACGAAGTTTCGCCCGAACTCTCAGACCAGCTTGGGGATTCGGAAGAAAATCCACCTTGACGGTATGCTCCCTCTATCAATGGATGGAGAAAAGGCCTACTTGCCAGACATCACAGGAGACGTCGCAAGAACAATAGCTGCATTTCTGTGGGATGCCAGTTTTTGTTCTATTAAACTGCGATTGGACGACTGCCGTGATATATGACAGTGTGCCGCAGATGACTTCGAATATGCGGGTTCTAAGAGGGAATGAGTTCGACCACTGTGGGTGCGAGGCTGTGTGTCATATTCCGTACATGGTGCTGGGCAATGTACATCGTCAACGCCAACCAGAAACTGGAAGGAGAGTGGGCCCCAAATGGAGCCAATATCAAGGAGGCTGGAAGCAGCAATTGCGATCACAATCTGTGAGTCAAAAGCTGAGGTGGAACAAGCAGCGCATTGCTCATCCAGTATATCCTTCCTTCTTGTAGCAGAAAGATTCGGTGGCTGAGCGATACTCTCGAGCGCGTAAATGTTCAGAGCCAAGGCTGTGAAACCCTTCCCTATGAGCAAATCTGCAAGGCCTTGCTCACCGGGGACCACCTTGAAGGACTGCGCGATGTCTTCATCCATCGTTTGAGCTTGCACGGCATGCACGCCATGGTCAACATGGTCAAGAAAGTGCTGGTGTCCCGAGCTCCCTTTATGACACGCACGGCCAAAGTTGCAGAGGGCGAGACATGGCTGCGTACCCGTGTTCAGAAGTCGAATTATTACAACACTAACAAAGCGAATCGTGTGCTGCAGACCTGGATCAAGCATCGTCCTAAGACATCTGATGGCAAGGCCATGCTCACACTTGTGCTCATGCTATCAAGTTATCTTGGCAAATACCGCAGAGGCGTTCAAATCGTCGCCATGAATTTCCTCTACGAGTTGAGGAGTTCGAACACATCTTTGCAGAGAAAGAGTAGTGAGTGAAGGATGATAAATCGCCGGGTGACTGTGAAGATCGCTCGGATCGGGATTTGGGAGGCATGAGTACAATATGAGCTTTGCCATGCAGATCTTGCGGTGTGCATCAGTCTGATGTTTTACATGCCCAGTCTCGACAACGACCTTGGCGCGATGCGGGGTCCTTTCAGGATCGACAATTGTCGCAACAATCGCATGGTTAATTACAACATTGGCGTTCGCACCATGCGGGACAAGTGGAGCTGTCCGAGCAACGGCAATGCTCAGAGAGTGGCGGATGACTGGAACGTTTGGCCAATGCGTCAAATTGCGCCAAACGGCCAATGTGATAGCAGTAAGCAATGCTGTCGATAGACGGGGAAGGTGCCTTCCACCAG